GGCATGCCCAAAACCCAAATAGTTAATAAGAAGAGCTGATTTATATAAGAATTGGATAGCAGGTTCTGATAATAGAATGGGTCACTTTGTTGTAAAGAATAACTTGTATTTGATTCTGTTATAATATTTAATAACTAGGAAGTATTTCTATATTTTTTTAAAATTCACCAAGCTAAACTAAATTGGTTTTATTGATTTTGCATAATCTAACAAAAAAATTCAATATAAAATCAAAAAAAAAATTTTTAAGATCAAAAAAAAAAAACCATTATAAGAACAAAAAAAAAAAAAATCTTTATAAGATTAAAAAAAAAAAAAAGGATAACCCTCCATTGATTCTTGAAAATTTATAGCTTCCAACCAAACTTTTCAGCTGCATCTAACCAATTTTTTGACATATTAATGCAGCTATCGTATTTGTATCCAACGAAGTACAGCTATCATCAATAATACGACCTGTGCAACTAAACATCTGTTCAGATATAACGCTTGTTGCAGGTATAGCGAGAAAGTCTCTAGCCATTGCTAACAAATTAGGAAACCGACTCTTATTATTTTTTTACCATTCAAGTACATTGGTGGTTTTTGAAGATATCGGCTCACCCAAATACTGCTTTACTTCACAAAGCGGATCTTTTTCAGTAATCTGAGTTTGCCTTGCCGCATATTCAAAAAAATCATCTGTGTGATTTTCAAATATTGATACATTATTTTTGGTATCGATCATCTCTTGATCAATAGCTAGTGATAAGTAATATGTATGAAGATATATATCTTCAAATCTTATCACAGTTTTTGAAATGGTTGAGAATAGCAATATTTTTAAAAAATAAATTTTTTATATGAAAACCCGAAAACCCGAAAACCTGATTAGTTTAGAACAATAGTCGTTGATTGATTCCCGATTTACATAAAACTCAGGTAATTGTTATCAAAACGATTACACAAAACCAAATTAATTTACAATTGTCCGATAGTCATGCAAGTATATCATAATACACTTTATCTTTTTTTTTTTGACAACCATTTTTATTTGTTATACGTATACTTTATCTTGACAGTCAGTTCTGCAGTTATGCGACTCTGTCTATTAACGGTAAGTAAAAAATTCAACTACACTAAATGGTTATTACAATTATATAAAACACAAAAGTATATAATTTATTATTGCATGTTGACAAGAGTTAACAGATCGAAAAGAAAGGGAAGAACTGGTCAGGGTTACACACCACGTACTACAACCCGGCCCTCAAATCATGGGATAAATAGCCAATTAAATTGCATAAATTAATAGATAAGCCACTAATCACGATTGATATATAAACAGCCGACAAAGAAAAGTCGATTTTAACACTCTTTCCCACTTCAATTTTCGGCAAACAAATTTCTCGACCCACCTTTCCCACCACATACTGTAGTCTCTTGTTAACAGCCGGCCTGCCTCAAAACTACCGGCTGATGCCGCTTCTCGCTCATTCTACTTCTCGTTCTACTATTACTACTATTACGATAATACCTGGCGCGAAATCGTTTCAGTTTGATTTACTTAGCTAAAATTACTTAGCTAAAATTGCTTATAGTGTATTCTTCGGACTTCACTAATTCAATTGTTTTAATAATTGTTTTAATAGTTTCAACAGTTAAGTTCATTGATTTCTTTTTCATGAATATTATATTAGAATATTCTTCTATTTGTTTTTAATATTACAACAATAATGTGAGTGTAAGCCAACTTGATATGATTAGTTAGTTATTAATTAATAATCAACAATTAGCTAGTCACATTAAGTTAGCCCACAAGTCTCTCACATTCAAAAAAAATGCATTTTATTACATAGTTTTTTTTTTTAGGGCTACTATTCGCATTCTTATTTTGGTCCCTCATATACAAGAAAAAATATATCTTATTTGTGAGTTTAGGAGTTTGTTCACATTCTTTCATACAAGAAACGAATCTTATTTGTCTACATAGTTTTTTCTTTTGTCTGCATAGTTTTTTTCTTTTCAAGGTTACTAATATTTGCATTCTTCTTTACATGCAAGAGAAAATGTACTTATTCATAAATTTAGGCGGTTTGTCCACGAATGTAGTTTTTTCAGAGTTACTGATATTTCATTTCACCATTTGTTTTAGTGGTGTTAAATATTAACTTACTAACACCATTGTACATATTGGATTTCACTTTTTACAGTGCGATAGCATTTGTATGTACATAACAATTATGATATCTTTAGAGGGTTGGAGAATGCAATGTTGTGAAACGGAAATTGTTAGAATTTAATAAATTCGTTCATTGGATTTATCAGAATTATATTGGGCTCACAACTCTTATGTGTAGATTTAGGTGTTTTGTCTATAAGTATGTTTTTTATAGTACAATAGTATTTGTATGCAACAGATGTATTTGTTATGCAATAGATTTAATAAATCTTTAAATAAAATTTAAAAATATCATTAAGTTTAAACAATTGATTTTTGCGAATATTTAATTACAATTTTTGTGTAAAAAAAAAAAAAAAACTTCTCTACTAATTTCAATAATTCTACAACTCATTAACTCCATACCTACTAAAAAAAAAAGAATGTCGTTTTACAGAATCAGTACATGTTTTGTGTGCTAGATGTGCTTGTTCTGTTTTATTGATCTTGCTATGGGCTTATGCAAATGTGACACTACCATAAAGCCTTCTCGTACATCCTCCCATCCTCGAAAAGTCTTTAGTAGAATCTTTGACCCAAATACAGCCTCAATTGATCAACAACTATTTCTTCAACAGAATGATCGACTTCATGCTTACAATTGTAACTTTAATACTACATTTAATCTTAGTTTTTGCCCCACATGCCATTTGCAGTATGATCATAAAAAGGAATGTAAAAATGAAAGTAGCGATAATGATAATAATTACGATGATGATTATGTTGAAGATTACGATGATAATTACATTGATAATTATTCTTCGGCTTCAAGCTCTTCCTGCAAAGCAAAAACTATCATTAAAGTTGATAGTTTAACTCCAATGCCTACAAAATGGTTTACCTTCTTCAATGCGGATAGCTTCTATTTATTTAATAATAAACTCATTGATTATATTAATAAGTATATAGATAATGCTGATATTGATAAAAATAACATTAAAATTTCATACAAGGTAAATGGTCGTGGCCAAGAAATGGCATTAGAGAATAATAAAGATTATGATGCTTTTATAGTTGAAGGCAAAAAATTAAACAGTTCCAAGCATATGGTTCTGTATGTTATGATAAAGTTATCTGATAATAAAAACAAAAAAAAAAAAATATATGAGGTATACCAAAAAGGATACATAATTGTCTATAAGTTTGCATTTTAAAATAATGTCCCAAGATGTTAGTTTTTTTTTTTTTTGGTATTAAGGTGACCTCTTTGGTCTGGGAAACTTTTTATTAGAGTATAGATGAAGTTTTATATATAATTACAACGATGGTACATCAAGCCACACGTGCACCTTTT